AGCCGGGGTCCAGGACACCACCAGCGCCACACCCTTGAACCTGCAATCGGTCTGAAAACAGGGCTGGCTGCGTGGCTCCCAGGGACCCCCCAGGGCAGTGAGAGGACGCAACTCGAGTACTCACTGCAGCTGTGGCACGATCCCGGAGCTCTCTGAGGCCGGCGTGGCAGGCGTGATGGGGGTCATGGGGGTCATGGGCGAGGGGTACAGGGGTGTGGTGCCCGGCAAGGGTGCCGTGGTAAGAGTCTGTGAGTGGTAGAGCTGTGGCGCCTGTCCTGAGGGCCCCTGAGTTGCCTGCTGGGTCGCCGACTGCTGAACCGCAGCCGTCACTGTGGTCACTGTCGCCGGCTGAGGGGGTGGCTGTGGGGGTGGCTGTTGTTGCTGCTGCTGCTGCTGCTGCTGCCGCTGCTGCTCCTCCAGGATGGACAGACTGTTGGTGTTCTGAATGGGCTGGGGAGTCAGCCCTGTGCCGTACGGCATCATCGGACTGAAGATGGGGATCCCGGGAGTCATGGCGCCCTGTGAAGAGTCCGGGGAACGGAGGGTTAGGCAGGCTGGCACCGAGTCCATGCGGGACCTGCCTGGTGAGAGAACAGGTGAGGAGTGGGAAGACGGACACCTTCTGGAATAAAGGGGTCATAGGGCATGAGGAGGGAGGAACTTGCTGTTCCTACACACATCACTTCCTTCGTTACCAGTGCACAGTGGGCAGGAGCTCAGGGCTTGGAACTGGGCTTGGGTGTGAAACCCCACTACTCCACTGTTACACGTGAGCCTGAGGAAGTTGCTTAACTTCAGGCCTATCTAGGGGATAATAATGCCCTAAGACCACGAGAGAGAATCGGGGGGCACAATGGAGTGACCACACATCCTCGTTCACACTATGACCCTACATAGCGTCTGGGGAGCACCCCACCTCCAGCTGGGACAAATTTCATGGTTCCCCCGAGAGGTCTGGTCACAGCCCCTGGCACGGCGACAGACATGCAGGAAACACTGAAGCGTCAGTGCCGATTATTTGAATACCACCAAAAAGGCTAACCACTGCTCCCCAAAGTTTCAGTCAACAAAATCCAATGCATGTATCAAAATAGTATCGATTTACTTGTCTGCATTGCTTCCAAACGTTGCAAAGAGAGTGACATTTATTAACCCCCCCCCACCCCCGGCTCACCCCAGCCCTCTGGGAAAGGGAGAGCACAGGGGCCTCTCCCCACACGCAGCTCAGGAGCCCTGACCCGGAGGGCAGGCGGCTGTGTTGCCCATAACCACAGGTCTCAGCGGCACCTCAGCCAAGGTCGCCACCCCAGTCCTCTGGCGCCCAGCCCAGTCCTCCCCCAACACCGAGACCCACAGAGAAGGCGGGGGCTGCACAGCTCGTTTTAGCTGTGGGCCTCCTACTCCTAACATCAAAGCCAAACAGGTGTAAGACGCGTATGTCTCACTGTCTCGCTGGCAGAAAGAACAGCAGAGGAGGACACAGCACACACTGTGGCCCTGAGCGTGGGCATCATTCCACTGCATCTCCCTCTAACTACTGCACACGTACTGGCTAGAAAAAATGCAGGTTACCTCGAGTGCCTTTCTTCATGCTGTACGTAACAACGAGTGACAGACGTACGTAAAAGCAAGGAGTATGAGGAGCTCCACCTGTGACTTCAGGTGGGTGAAGACTTCCTGGCGGGACACAGAAGCACAAACCAGGAAGCGACAGTGACGAAGAGACCAGAAAAGGTGGACTTCTGCTCTCCAGAAGGCCCCATCCGGATGGCTGAGAACTAAGCCACAGGCGGGCGGAACACCTGCAGGACACGTCTCGGGGGAGGGGGGTGCAGAGCTGCTGCCCTGGACCCGCTCTTGCGCTCCCTGTGGTTTCCGTCCCCCACAGTCCCCCGCGGCCCAGACGTATTACATGGAAAATTCAAGAAGTCAACAACCTAGGTTACACTGTGTGCAGTTCTGAGGAGCGCGATGGAATCTCGCACCCTGCACCATCCCGGGGGGTGGGGGGGAGAGACAGGAATCCTCTGCCCAGCGCCTCCACGCTGGGAGGGCGGCTCGATGAGAACTGGGCTGTGGTCTGAGAAGGACCACAGCCTCATAGCTTCCCCGACAGCCTCTGTCACAGTCACTCCGTTTCATCACTAGCTACTGTTGTTAATCTCTTCCTGTACCTAGTTTATAAGTTTGTATGCAGGGGGGATACAAGTACACTTACAATGAGCGTTTTTATTGCTAGTAAACTGCATCTCAACAGAAATCATTTAAAACTTTAGAAAGCAGAGAAGTTACCTGGGACCTTACACATAAAAAGGAAAAGATGAAACTAGAAAACAATTGGTGAGAGTCTCTTTCAAAATCAAAGAGCCTGTCATTCACCCGGACACCATCATGTTTGTCCGAAAGCTCTTACAGACGAACACCTATTTCAGCCTTCGGGTGCACTCCCCGAACTCCCCACCATCAGACCCACTCAAAGCCCAGCGGACCTTCTCAATACAACACTGGGGGCTTACAGCATACAGGTCGGTGTTCACCAGCAGGCGCTCCTTACCTGGGGGGAGGCCAGGCCCTGGGCGTAGGGCGGCAGGCTGCTGTTCTGATCCATGGCGCCGCCCACTTCCCGGCAAATCACGCTTCGCTAGGGAGCCGCTCAGCACCCAGTCTTCCCCCGGGGCATCCCCACGCGACTCCACGCGACTTCCTCAGCCCTCCAGGTCGTCCTCTGCCAGGAAGAGATGCTGCTCTGAAATTTGAAGTTTAATGTGAGAATACAGACGGCTACACAGTCCGATAACCAGAGTCATGGCTCCACACACCCCCCGAACCCAGGAACAGAGACGCTCCCTTTCGTCTGTGCCGCCGGAATCACATCCCCCCCGGCGTGTCCTGTGACGGCGCAAACTGCAACGGGGCCAGCTCGTTTGGGCGCACATTCCACTTAAACTCTCAGCGTGTTGCAGCCAGCACTGCGGACCCGGGGAAGCAGTTCCCAAAGACAAACCCCAAGTGAGCCGCACGCCCGAGCGGAAACGGTGCGCTCCGAGGCCGGCTTCGGGCCCGCAGCCAAGCGGACCAGTGTGGCTCCGTCAACGTCTCGGGCGTTCCGCTCACCAAGCGTTTAAGCGGACCCCATGCGCTTCCGTGTGATCGTGTGTGGAGCTGCGGTTCGACGAGACGCCGGGAGAGAAGCCGTCCAGGCACCACGGTGTCACTCACCGGGCAGCTTCACCTCCTCGGAGCACGGAAACACCACGAGACCGCGCCCCTGGCTTTCCTGAAGCCACTGCTTCCATCTCAGCTACACGTCCGAGTAGCCGTCAGACGGAAGGACCGGGCGGCTCTGCGCAAAGACCGTGTGTCCGGCCCAGCTCCGCCGGCCGCGTCGCCGTGGGAACCGCCCGAGCCGCGCACGGGAGGTGCCGGGCACATCACGCGGGCACCCGCAGTCACCCAGGACGCGGAGCGCCGCTCCCCCCGCCCCCCGCCCCGGACGGCCTCCCTCGGCCTTGCGGGTGTTAGTCACAAGTTAAAAGTCGAAGCCCGCCGTGGCGCGGGCGATTCCCTAATGAGCGAGGGGGGCGCCGACCCCCGCCTGGAGGACAAAGGGCTGCACCGGCGACAAATCCCGGCACCCACCCCCGCAACACCGGCGCTGCTCCAGGAAGGGTCAGAGGTGTGTGGAAAGTTACTTTGGGGGCGTTGCTGCACTCAAACCACGTAAGGGCTGCAAATGCAAGACCGCCGAGAGGGAGACGGCGGTCGGACTGGGGTCCTGGCCTCCGGCACGCGGCCGTCCGGCCCGGCCCCCGCGGCCCCTGGCCTGACGGGCGGGACTCACTTCCAGCGCAACGGAGGCCGGGCGGGGACGGCGGAGAGCGTCTCCGCGCGGCCTGCCGTCTCCGGCCTCCACCCATCCTTTCCCCCGACCTCGCCGCTCAGACTCAGAAGAAAAAAAGCAACAACGGCTGTTACCTGGAGACACAGCCGCTGGCGATTCCCACCCGCGAAAAACAACTCAAACGGCAGACAGTCCGGGCGCCCGCCACTGCGACCCTTCGCGACCCCTCTTGAACTCCTGGCGCGCGTTTATAGTGTCACTTCCGCCAGTGCGGCTCTCGGCTTCAAGGAGGGCCCCGGGCTGCAGCGGCGACTAAGGTACGTGCGGCCATGCGTCACTTCCTGTGTTGCCACGGGAATCGGCGAGCGGGAGCGCAGGGTGGGGCGGGGTTATTCAGTAGTTCCGGGGCGGGGCCGCCTGGTGAGAGCGTTTTCTGATTGGTCGTTGCCGGGTAGGCCAGATTTTGATGTCTAAACCGACAATCTGTGATCTTTGGCAAGTTACCTACCTTTCCGCCTAAGTTTCTTCGTCCGTTTTAAAAATAACTTTTTAAAAAATTGTAAAATGATCTTCATATAAGGAAATTAATACACACATGTACAGATTAACACATCGCGAAGCAGGCCCTTCCTACTCACTCTGCCCCCCTAAATTATGCTGTGTGTGCTCTGAGCTAAGACCCATCCACAGCGGGCGTCCGCTGATGCTCCTCACTGTGACATATCCCTGAGTTTATGGACATTTGCTCATTTCCAGATTGGGGTTATTAGGAACAATGTTGTGTAAACATTCTTGGACATCCCTTCTGGTGGAGTGCATACCTGGAAATTAACTGTTGAGGACTCAGGTGTGCACCTCTTCAACGAAGCCAGGCGATGCCGGTCCCCTTTCCAAATAGGGCTGCACCAGCTTACACTCCGATAGACGATTCGACTTTCCCTTGCTCCATAGTGTTGCCAGTTTTTTGTATGGTTAGACTTTAAGGTTTTTATCCACTAAGAGTGAATCCGAATGTTTTCTTAAGGAAGAAAACCGTGACATCCCCGTCAGCTTTGGAGTAGGGGCCCAGACCTCTGCGACGCGGACCTCCGGGAGCCAGGCCTGGGTGCGCGCCGGCGCGACGGGAAGCGGCGCAGCCGGGCAGCCGAACGTGGCGCAACTTCCGACTTCCGGCCGGGCCGCCATCTCGCCGTGAGACAGCAGGAGCAGTGTGGGCGATGTCGTCCTGTGCAGCCGCGTCTTGGGGCCCCAGCCGAAACCCGGTGATGGAGCCGCACGGCGCCGGCCCCGTGCAGCTGCGCTTCTCGCCTTACGCTTTCAACGGAGGGTGAGGCCCCGGCAGCCGCTCCCCGTTCTGTCCCTGCCCACGCCCGCGGGGGTCGCGGCGGCCTCTGTCTCCGCGGGCGGCTCGGCCCGCCGCGGTCTTCGGCGGCGCCTTCCCGGCCGGTCGCTGGCGTCGCAGCGCGGACGGCCAGGCTCGCGGGGAGGCCGCGGGTGGGCGCGGAAGCCCGGCCTCCGCTCCAGCCGCGGCGAGGGCAGGGTCCTGTGGGCAGTGAGAGCGGGGGTGGCGCGGTGCACGTTGTTAGAGGAGAAGTTGCGTGGGGAGCGAGAAGGGCGAATGAGACGGTCGTTTTTGCTGTTTTGGATGGAAGGCAGGGTTAGTTGGCCCGACTTAAGTTCGGGGGCGAAATACCCGGAAGGGGCCTTTTAGAGTGTTGTCCTTGCGTGTTACGGTCAGGTTCTTTTTAAGAAAACGCCAGTTGTGTCTTAAGTGATACTTTTCCTTGACGTCCGCCGAAAGGATTGGGGTGGTGATGGAGCAGGGGAAGCCGGCGCTCCTGCCGCCTGTTGCCTCGCAGGCCCGACAGGCAGAGACAGGGACTGCATCGCCGTGGGCACTGTCTTCGGACGGCGGCGGTCGGAGAGGATGCGGGGTTTGCGCCCTAACAGGCCGTCTGACATTCCATCACGAAGCCACCCTTTCTGTAAGAAGGAACGTGTGGGTGCGGGGATTGGAGCTCGGGGAAAGAGTTCGTCAGATAAGAACCAGTGGCATTCTCTCATCTGTGCCCTGGGCCATAGTCTTGAGCTGTGTCCTGGGCGGGGGCCTCCCCCCGGAGCACAGTGGCTCAGGCACCGTCTCAGTGACATGGAGTCCTCCCGGGGCACAAAGGGGGAGCTGCTTACGGTCTCCTGGAGCCAGCGTGGGTCACACCTTCCATTCCAGGAACAGTAGCTTTGACATGCATTGATTACTGAGCTTATTAGCTATTACTTAAGTTAAATTTTTCCAGCATTCGAGTCCCCCATTAGTAGGAAGGGGACTTATTTATTGGGTTGGCCAAAAAGTCCGTTTAGTTTTTTACATACTTTTCATTTTCACTAATAACTTCATTGATTTGGGTATTTTGAGTGTATCGGCTCCCTCCTGCTATTGGCTTCCAGTGGACAGAGGCCAGGGTGCTGCTGAACACCTTCCAATGCATAAGATGGCCCCACAGATAGTGCCAATAAACTTCGCCAACCACTTTTGACACCTTCCATCAGTCACAGCACCTTCTCCATATACTGCACAGATCTTTTTTTGTGTTTCAGTTAAGTTTTTACTTTTCTTGGATAATAAAGCAAAATACATCAAAAATGTTGCATGTTTCCTTCCATCTTCAATTTTTAAGTGGATGCACAAAAATTCATCAATTTTGGATTTTTTTTAATGCACATCAATACAGCATCTGTCACAATACAGTCTAACAAAATTGGTTCAGATGGAGTTAGACAACTAAGCAGGACTAGAGCCATCGTCAGAAAAAACTTGACGGACTTTTGCCAACCCCCATAGGAGTCTGGGCAGCTGCACACTGGGGCAGTGGTGACACTTACCGGCCAGACTGTGCTGGCAGCGTCCACACCCGGCGGGAGCACCCGGTGGTGAACAGACCGGGTCGTTCTTTCAGCGTGAGGGCCCGAAACCCTGATGCGCGTGTTGGGGGTGTTGGGAGGAGAGTGGAAGACGCAGCCTCAGCCTCAGCCTCAGCCTCTGCCTCTGCCTCTGCCTCTGTCTCTGCCGCTGAAGGGCAGACTGTTTGAATGCAGATGCCCTGCTCTTCCTCAGCTCCTCGGGGAGGGGGGGACGTCTACCTCTTGTACCTTTTTTTCTCTTGGTAACAATGGAGAGCCTGGGGCTCCAGTCCCAGCCCGGGGTGGAGTGGGGCCAAGACTCAAATCCTTAGCTCTCTGCCCCTGAGTGACACTTTCCCTTTTCCTTTCAGCACTTTCTGTGACAATTAATGACTAGTAAGCAGAGTCATTAGACCCATTTCGTAAGGTCGAGGTGAAGTCTTTGTACTGCTGCTCACAGTGTGGGGTCCTCAGATTCATTCCTCACTTTTTAACCCCTTGTACTCCGATTTAAGCTGTTACTGCCCTAAAAGTTAGTTGCTTAGGACTTCTGATTATTAAATTTTAAGTTCCTTTCCTCAGTTTTCTTTTGCCACAGTATTTGTTGCTGCTGACTCTTGGGCAACCTTTCCTTCGACTTCTGTGTCTGTTAACACTGCAGCTCCTGAAACGTGATGGAGCCCTAGTCCTCAGCCCCGTGCTGGCCATGCGCCCCGTTCCTGGACGGGAATCCCCAGTCCCCAGCTCCAGTTCCCCCTCTTAGGAGACCCTCAGCTCCAGCCTCTTCAGTGGAACGTTTCTGCTGGGAGGCCCTGGTCCTGCTCCCCCCACACCGCAGGGCATTAAAACAACCTGCGGGCTCACGGTCCCTCGTGCACTCCCTGTGGTCAGGCATCAGGCCGCTCACCCAGGTTGGAAGTCTGGGGCCTCATGAGTGGCTCCTCCAGGTTCCAGCACATTTTGGTAGTTATGGAAACTTGTACACTTTGCGTGTTCGTTGGTTTGATTTACCCACTTTCCCTCTTCTCCCCACTGCCCTCCTGTCGCTTCAGTTTTACTGGAAGTGTTTCTGTCCCGATTCCCAGGTTGTGTAGGTGTCACAGTAACCTCCTTAAAACTCCACTTTGCAAAGGGAGCCTTTTTCATTCTTGCTCCTGTGGCCTTGATGGTTTCTCACTGAAATGCTCAGGTCCTTAGTTTCGCACTTGGGTTTGTGTACAGCCAGGTCCCTGCCTATCACACACACTCTGCGTCCCTGCACCTGCTCGCACACACAGGGACACCTCAGCGAGCCGCTGGAGGGTGTACGTGAACTGTTACCCATCTCCTTCTGTTGGCTGTCCGCATTACCTGGGATGCTGCTTGTCCGAGCCTCGGCTGTGTGCACGCCCCACCTCCCTGGAGACAGTGGCTGGGGTTTCCCGAGCACTTCTATTCTCAGGCACCGCCCTGGGCGCTCCATGTGAGTTATGTCAGCCAGCTCTCGAGGTCACTGTGTAACACAGATACTTGGACTGGGATAATTTGTCCAAGCTCATAAAGCTCTGGAAGGGGCAAGGCCAGCGCTCAGAAAAGTGCAGAGCCCAGGTGCTCAGGGACAGCACGGTGCTGCCTCCCACACCTGTGACCGGAGCTTCTCTGGGGGACCAGCTGCGTTCCAGGCACCAGCCCCAGGACTTCGAGATGATTAACTCATTCGCTCTAAAGGTCCTACTCTCAAGGGCAGCTGCTGCATGGTCTCTGGTGTACGCATGAGGACACCGAGGCCCTGAGAAGTCAAGCATCTCAGATCTGCAAACGGGAGAGTCGAACTGAGACTGTGCAGTCTGCTCTTGGAGTTCATACTCGAGGCCTCTTCAGTAAACCACCATCATAAGTCATACGGGCACAAAGCAAAAACTGTGTTCTTTGTTCACTCATTTTTCAGCAGGTTGTTTGGGTGTCTGCTGAGTGCGACACGTGCAGCACCCTAACCTCTTCTCTGAGCCGGGGCGGCAGGCGTCGGGCCTCTGTCTCCTGGCCTGTGGGCAGGGCCTGGCCTCTGGCTGTCACGTGCGATCAGTGCCTCGCACAAAGCAGGTGTTTAATTCCTTTTTAAGGTTTTGTTTTTGCTTATTTTTTGAGAGAGGAGAAAGGGAGAGAAACAGTGATCAGTTGTCCCTCGCGCACCCCCCACTGGGCACCTGGCCCGCATCCCAGGCGTTTGCTGACTGGAAATCGAACCTGTGACTTTTTGGTTCACAGGCCAGCTCTCAATCCACTGAGCCACACCAGCCAGGCTGGTGTTTGATTTTTTGATAATGATGATAACTCGGTGGCTTTTCTGTTGTCTCCTGCTAGGGACCCTTTCTGTGATGTGGGGCGTTGTTTTCAGGGGGCTCCCGGCGTTTTCCCAGGCGGCATGTGGCCAGGGCTCCTTTCCCTGATCTTCCCTCTTCTCTCTGACCCCCGCTCTTGCTCCGTCCGCTGGCTCGGTCCCAGTGCAGGCACACCTCGCGTCGCTGCGCCTTGTGCTTGCAGACACCGAACCCTGCATGGAGCAAGGCAGTGGGGGCTGTTTTCCCCACAGGCTCAAGGGATGGTTAGCGTTTTTTAGCAATAACATTTTTTAGTTAACATGTATCTTTTTAAATAGATAGTGTATTGCACACCGAGGACAGTAGAGTGTAAAACATGACTTCTCTGCCCCTGGCTCGGGGATATCTGCCTGACCGCTGTGGTTGGGAGTGGACCCGAACTCTTCCACTGGTGCAGGTTTGTTCACCCTCCGGAAGAATTCATTGATTTTCTTTGTTTTTTTCCTCAGTACAATATTGGCAATTGCTGGAGAAGATTTTTCAATTGTTGCCTCTGATACTCGATTGAGTGAAGGCTTTTCCATCCACAGCCGGGACAGCCCTAAATGTTACAAATTGTAAGTAAATGTTTCTAATGACACATCTCTCCAGTGCCTTGTGATTCTTCAGTGCTATGAGATTTAACTTCTAAACAATGTATTTTCGTGAGTTTCTAGTTTGTCCAATTTGTAGCTTACTTTGCATTTTTGTTAGGAAACAATTTTCTAAGTTAACATTTCCTAATAATTGATGATGTTGTCTTTATGATATTTGCCATATTTGGGTACCAACAGGTACCCAAACTTTTAGGTCACCAACTTTTGATAACCTAAATATTTTTATCTCAACATTTTACCCTGAAAAATTTCAAATATACAACAAAAATAAAATTTGGTAATGAGCAACCCGTATACTACCACCAGGATCTTATTAGCACTTTACATGGTTACTTTGGCACATTTTTCTGTCCTTCTGTCCAGTGCTAACCCACTGTAATCGGCCCGGTTTCTTTGTGACCTGAAACGTTTGGCCACGTCCTCAGTGGTCGTCCCCGTGGCTCACGGTTTTAACGGGCTGGCTACATCTGTTTCCAAAACACAAAAGTAAAGTCCCGTGTGCGGAAAGAAAATACCTGTTCGCACGAGTCACCTCAGTGCGTTCCGCAGAGTGGCAGTGGTTTCACTGAACATTTCTGGGAACAGTTACAGTGGTGATGAATCCATCCCCAGGCTGGCCTGCAGAGCCCGTGAGCCCCACACTGGCCCCAGGGAAGGCTGCTGAGGCCTCGCCTGGTGGGGCTGCGGGGAGTCGGCAGGGAAGGAGCTCTGTCTGCCCCCCCCCCCCGCCCCAGAGCCCTGACGTGACAGTGACGTGCGCCTGGACTCTCACTGGGCTCTGCCAGGGCCCTTCTCCGAAGGGACACCAGCGGGTCCTCTCCCCCCACCCCTGGGAGGGCCGCTCTCCGCAGGTGGCGGCGGCAGGCGGTGTGACGGCGTGGAGGCCGCAGAACCCTGTCCTGTTGAGACCTGCCTTTCTCAGTGACATGGAGGCTCTTTGCACATGCTCACGGTGCCTTGTGTTCCACTGAACGTGACCTTCACCCCCTTTCACCTTCGCGGTTTCGGGGGGGCAGCGTCATGACTCCAGTCCGTGTGTGTTGGTCACAGTGCGCGACCTCGGCTGATCTGGTGGGACCCTGACCGTGCGCCTGGATGCCCCCGGAGGTTTCCTGAGAGAACTCTCGGGGTCTCTCCTAGCGTCCTTCACACGTGTGAGCCAGGGCGGCCCCCTCGGGCCTTTGCGGTGCTCACATCTTTCCCAGCTGGGGGTGCCAGTTGCAGGCTGAGGCAGGCAGAGTCAGACATCGGCCGTGGGGACTACAAATGTGGTTTCTTAGTTTTAATTTTAAACTTTTTTCTCTAGAGCAGTTTTATTTTTTATGTAGTTAATTTAAGTACATGAACCTTTTCTGTGTGGACATTGGGTTGTAGCATATTTAAATCAGCTGCCCTCGACCATGGATTATTGCTTTCTAAAGATCACCCTGGTTTTCCGTGCTCCACTCCTAGTCTCACCGTTTCTCTAAGCCCTCGGTTCTTCTGTGATTTATCGGGTGTTGGCAGCGAGGCATCAGATTACAGACTCCTCCCTTCAGTGAGTGCCGGCCATAGGAGTTTCACATTTAAAGTTGCCCAGCAGGTGTTCAGTTTTACCGTCTGACCGTCTCAGTTTCCTGCAATGTGCTCTTTCAGAACAGATAAAACAGTCATTGGATGCAGTGGTTTCCATGGAGACTGTCTTACCCTGACGAAGATTATCGAAGCAAGACTAAAGGTAGGTGCCTTTTATGTGTCTGTTGCAAGTTGGTGACTCATTTGACCCTTAAGCACACTCTGAGAAGCGCCAGGTGAGTCCAGGATGCAAACTGGCGAACCCGCGCGGTCTGAGTCCCCACTAGAAAGGGTTCTGCGAGAAAGGGGTTCTTCCGAAGACTCTCTTTCCTGGGAAATAAAACCCACCGATTTCTCTCAAGAAGACGAACTTCCGACAGGAGCCGGGTAGGGACCTTGTCGGCGGGGTGCACCCTCGGGACTCGGGCCAGCCGGGCACGGCCACCTCCCCATCACAGGCTTCGGCCGGCAGGGGGCAGGCGGGCTGGGGGAGAGGGGCAGTGTCGGGAAGCAGGGACTGAGCAGGAGGTCTGACGCCGGCACTGCCTGAGGCCCACGGAGCTGGGGCTGCTCTCTGTGAACTCGGGCAGGTCTGGCTGGGTTTGTGGCCTCTGATCAGTAGGCGAGTTTGCTTCTGGTGATTCCCAGAGTTGGCCTGGACCGTGTGGACTGTGTGAGGTGTTAGCAGTAACCAGAGGGACACCCCGGCCCAGGAGGGGTAGGGTCCCAGCCACCGTCGCTGGCGTGCAGCGCGGCCTTGCGGGGCTCACCGGGGCCGGTGGGGAAGCCGGCAGTCCCGGCACCGCGGCCCTCGGGCCTCCTGTGCCACCTCGTGGGCTGTGTGTCCCGGTCTCTGAGTGGTGGCTGAGTCTGTCCAGGACCTGGGGAAGGGCGGCAGCGACCGCGGTGGGCAGCCTGCTGCTGCAGAGCAGGAGCGCCTGGGGTGTCCACGCCGGTCCTAGTCGCTGGGCTGGGGCAGTGGGGGGCCTGGGGCCTTGCTTTAGGAATGTGTAGAAACAATGTCATTCCCTGTTCGTCAGCTGTTAATACTTAAAAATTTTCCTGACGTGGAAAGCGTCAGTGACTGACATGTGTTGACCCGTGTGTGTGGTTTCTGGTACATGTTTTACAAGTGGAACTCAGAGGACAGAAATGGACACGACAGGGAAAGTGTTCCGTTAAATCGAACCATAAGCACTCAGTTTGGCTCAGCGCCCCGTCCTTCCGGAAGGAACTGGGTCCCCTTTCCTGTCTGCCGCTCCTGGGGGCCCCTGGTCTGTTCAGCGAGTCGGGGTCCTGAGGGAGGCGTCAGCGCAGGGCTGGAAATCGCTGGTGAAGGCCCTGGTTCGGAGACTTGTGTCCTCTGCTGCAGGGGCGCCCGGGAGCAAGGCCACCGCCCTGACCTGGAGCCCTTCGCAGCGTGGGGCCGGGGCCCCGCTCCGCGCTCGCCTGCTCTGCGGAGAGAGGCCCTGTCCCAGTAGGGCCGGCTCGGGCCGGCAGACTCCGTGAGGGCCTGGCAGGAAGTGTGTTTTGCTTTGCAGGCGGCTGGGTCTTGGTGGCGATCACTCGGCTCTGCCGTTGCTGAGGCTGGCGGGGACGGGTGCTGAGTGAGGGGGCAGCCCGGCCGCACTTGGCATAGAGATGCAGCTGGTGGGCCGGCGGCCGGCTCAGCGCCTCCGCCCCGTGAGCCTGCGTTGGTGCCTGGCCCAGGCCCGTGTCCTGAGGGCAGGGTGGCGTGGAACCGGTCTGTGAGCCAGACGCAGGGGGGGCAGGTGTAGCATCCCCCCCCCCCACACACACACGTCACAGGCCCCAGAGTGACGGGGCTGAAAGTGCTGCTGTGTCTCAGTGAAGTCGCGGGCGTGGTCACGGAGGAGACAGGCCGCCCTGTCCCCGACGCGTGCGTGTCCTCCTCCCGGGCTGCCCGCTGCTCCGGCCTGCAGCGCTGGGCCCCTCACACGTGTCTCTGTTGGAAACCGCAGATGTACAAGCATTCCAACAACAAGGCCATGACCACGGGGGCCATCGCCGCGATGCTGTCCACGATCCTCTACTCGCGGCGCTTCTTCCCCTACTACGTCTACAACATCATCGGGGGTCTGGACGAGGAAGGTGGGTGCTCCGCGGGGAGGGGGCGTGTCCGCGAGGAGGTCTGAGCCCCGGAGACCGGCCCGCCCAGCTTGCCCTCCCTGACCAGGAGAGGGGCGAGGGTGCTGGCGCTGCGGGGGGCGGGGGGGGCGGGGGGCACAGCCCTCACGGTGGCGGCCAGGCACTGGGAGCTCCGACGCCGGCAGTAACCGTTCTGACTGCACAAAACACACCTGGCCTGGGGAAGCTCAGCCTGACCGCCACGGCCCATCAACATACCTCCCTGGCGTCCAGAAGTCCCAAACAGCGATACCTCGGAAGGGTTGCGTATGTCTCCACCAGCGTTTTCGGGGCGTTCTTGAAACTCCCCGACTCTCTGGCCGAGCCCGAGCAGGGACACCCCCTCCTGCTGCTGCTCCGTGCGCTGACCGGTGCTCCTCCCGGGTCTGGCTTGCTTTGGCTCAGTTGCTTCCGAGACCAGAGGCGGCCCCCCGGGATAGGCCCGCCCGCCCGCCCTTGTGGTGGGCAGCGGAGAGGAGGGGAGTCTCTGCAGCGTCTGGGTGAGGACGCCGGGACAGGAGTCTGACCTCATGGGGACAGCTCTGGGCGGGAGGAGGCCAGGCTCCCCCAGTGCCCCCACCCCAGGCCAGCGTCCCCTCTGCTGTCCCCTCGCGGCCGCTCCCTGCACACTCGGGCTCCGGGAGCTCAGGTCTCACGCCTGCCGCGGCTCACGTGTGTGCCGTGTCTCTGGGGGCGGTCAGCCTCCAGGGAGACCCGAGAGGGAGTGTCAGGGGAGGAGTCAGCCGGTTGAGGTCAGTCACCCCCGACCTGGGTCACTACATTCAGCCACCAAGGGGCTGGTCTAACCCAGCACAACATGTCTGGTGCCTTTTTGACTTAAACTAGGTCTGACTTGAGTGTCAGATCAGTACATTCAGGTTTCAGGCACATTGGCGACAGCTAGTGTTGCATCTCAGCGGGGCAGGTGAGGGCCCAGCGCACCCCGGGAGGCGGGGAGGCTGGGGCACCTGAGCCCAGCGACAGGGCTGCTCCCCGCGGGCCGGCCGAGCTCCAGCCCAGCCGAGGGCGCGTGCGGTGCCGCACCGCGGCTGGGTTTGTGTTCGCCTCGATGTGGGGTCAGGGTTGGGGTGCAGCCTCACGGGCACTGTCTCCCCCTTTCAGGGAAGGGGGCTGTGTACAGCTTCGACCCGGTGGGGTCCTACCAGAGGGACTCCTTCAAGGCCGGAGGGTCGGCGAGCGCCATGCTGCAGCCCCTGCTCGACAACCAGGTGAGGACCCCGCCCCGGGGTGCGGGTGTCCCACGCACTCTCTCAGGTCCCTCCGTCTGCTGCATGGGGGGCACCAGGCAGGCGTCTCGTGCATCCACGTGGGCACCGTCTGCCGAGGGGCCCGCTCAGACCCCCCGGGCTCCGTCAGCCTCGCTGCGCCTGTGCCGCCAGGGCTGCGGGTCTCGGGCTGACCGCGGGTCTCCGCCGTCTCGCCCCCTTCGCCCGAGGTCTGTGACCTTTCTCCCGACACCAGGTCTGTGTTGCCCCCCTCTGTGGTCCAGCACCCCCAGCACTTCGTGACTCGCCCCTGCCCGTCTCTGCGGGCCCCGTCCGACCTGCGCGGCGTCTGGCGGGGTGTTGCATTCCTGTCCTCAAGTCCGCCCTGGTCACCCTTCTGGCCTCTCGGAAGTGGGGCGCAGCAGGCCCTGCGGGGGGCGTGGCACGCCCGTCCCCGCTCCTGTCGGCCCTCGCGCCACGTGCTGGGAGCGCGGTGCCTGTCCCGTCTCCACACCCTGACCTGCCCCAGTCTCGCCCCTCACGGGTCTCCTTCAGCCTGACCTCAGTGCCCTTCCTCCTGGTGGGTTTGGTCACAGCCACCGGGTTCCCCTGGCCTCTCCTCCTCCTCAGCCTCGGCCTCGCACACCCTGCAGCGATGCCCACCCGCCCACGTCCGCCTCCCCGTGACGGCGTGTGCTTCCCGGGAGCCAGGGCTCTGTCTCCACCGCCCCTTGCTGGGCGACACCGGGCTCCTCCTGGCTCTCAGGCCCCAGGGGGCGCGGGGGCTCGGCCCGCCCGCCTGCTGTCACTCGACACCTCACCCGCGTCTCCTGTCCGTCCGTCCCCCGCCCCCCCCAGGTCGGCTTCAAGAACATGCAGAACGTGGAGCACGTCCCGCTGACCTTGGACAGAGCCATGCGGCTCGTGAAGGACGTCTTCATCTCCGCTGCCGAGAGGGACGTGTACACCGGGGACACGCTCAGGATCTGCATCGTGACCAAGGACGGCATCCGGGAGGAGACCGTGCCCCTGAGGAGGGACTGAGGCCTGCACTGCCGCGTGCCCTCGGGGACGGCCGCGTGCCGCCTGGCTGTGGCCCGTCTTCTCAGCAGGACGGAGCCGGGGAGTCGCGTCTCTCTTTCCTTTCGCTTTCCTCATGCTTCCCACACTTTTCCGTCTTTCAGACATTTCTGCGTTTTTAAGAATGAAAAGACCCAGCAGCCCGTGTCAATTTTCCCTGACGTTTATGAGCAAGAAACGGAAGTGGAGAAGCTGACTTTTCTGCCCGCGCAGATGGCCTGTCTCCGAAGAGGGTGTTCATGCCACCCGATGTAACCTTTAGTCCGTCTTGGTTGTATTAAGACATTAAGTGGACATAAATAAAATACCTTAAGATTTGTCTTGACTGGTGTGGCTCCGTGGGTTGTGTTGCCCTGCAAACCAAAAGGTCACTGGTTCGATTCCTGGTCAGGGCACATGTGTGGGTTGTGGGTCAGGTCCCTACTTGGGGTGTGTGAGAGGCAACTGATGGATCTTTCCCTCTCTCCCTCCCTTCCCCTCCCTAAAAATAAGTAAATACTGAAAAAAAATGTAGCAGCTGCTTTGGAGAGACATCTTCAAATCACTGAAATAGAAAAAAATTGTAAATGCAAACCAGCCCTTCAAATGGTCTTTTGCCAGAAATCTGGGATAATTTTCCCAAGCAGTTTAGAAATGCTAAAATTGAGACCTAAATATTTTGATAGAGCTAAGGTGGTTTTCTAGACGTATTACACACGTGTTAACTGTACTACATATGGTGTCGGACCAGTTTTCTTGGTGTCGAGCAAGTCAAATCATGTAACCTAGGGATTCGGGTTTGCTTTGAGGCCTAACAGATTTCACTGTTGATCTCATTAAGAACCAATTAAGATTGCCCTGGCTGGTGTGGCTCAGTGGATTGAGCACAGGCCTTTGAACCAAAGGGTCGCCGGTTCAATTCCCAACCAGGCACGTGCCTGGGTTGTGGGCCAGATCCCCAGAAGGGGGCGTGCAGGAAGCAACCGCACGCTGATGGTTCCCTTTCTCCTTCCCTTTCCCTCTAAAGAAAAAGAATTAAAATCGTTCAAGCCCCTAGTGGGTGTCTGTTTTGAAGTTTGTTCTGCAAACACCTGTTGGGTCTAGTCACAGACACTCCACTCGGTAGCGAGGCCTCCCCCACGTGGCTCCGTCAGGGTCACGGGGACTCCGCAGACCGTCCCGTGGTCAGCGTGCCCGTGCTCTCTGGGGCCGCGGGGCTGATGGCACAGACACGTCTGCGCTGAGGAATCGCCTGGATCGTGAGCCGTCGTCCGCACGCCGGAGACCAGGGGGCTGGAGGCGGAGGCTCCAGGTGGAGCGTGAAGGCCGTGAACCGGGACAGCTGCCGTGTGGGCCCTGTGTCCCAGGACCAGGGGCCCGCTGTCCCCGCCCAGGTGCCCCCTGCACTTGGGTTCCTCCTGGCCCCAGCGGGCTGGGTGAGGCCCTCCCCAGTCGGCTGCCGACCGACCGAATGCTCACCTGCAAACCCTCACAGACACCCAGGATGACACTGAGGAGGGCTGCCCCTTGTGGTCCCGTCCAGCTGACACACAATTAACAGTTGCAGCTGTGTAAAGGAGGAGTATTTTCTTTTTCAAAGGCTTTCTTGTTGAATTGGGGATTCAGTTTTCCACTCTGAAGTGATACAAGTTTGTGTGTATCTGGAATTTTCTATGAGGTCCTCCCCCTCAAGATTCCCAGGGAAGTTCTCCAGACTGGGGTGATGTCTTTCCCCAGGTCCAGCTGTCCATTCTCGCACCTGGTTTTGCCCCAGGCCTCGAACCCTGTCTCACTTGAAGGCCTGCGTCTGGGGGAGGCTGGCCGGCGGTCCTGCTGCTGCCGACTCTGGCTCCGGTCACTCAGGCAGCTTCTCTAGGTGACCCGGCCCCAACTCCTCACCTGGAGAAGGCAGCTCCACAGCCCTGGGACAGATGCCAGGGACACACCGCCAGCCAGCCCTGGATGCGGGTGGGGCAGCCGCAGCCCCGTCCGGAGCCCGCTCCTGCCTCCTGCACAGGACGGTGGCATCGAGACAGCCCGAGACCTGAGAGACGGCCGCAGGGCACAGCAGGCTCTCCTGAGGCACTGGCTGCATCCTGACTCGCACTTGGGACCAGGGGTGCTGCTGGGCCTCTGCCCTCAGCGGAGGCAGTCAGCTCCCTGGGCCTGCCGTTCGGGCCGCCCAGGGCTGCGCTGGCCCCCCCCTCCACCCGGCCTGTGACCTGCAGCTGCCGGTCTGATTTGCAAGCAGAGAAATTGTCCCATGAGACAGACTTTGCAAGCCTCGTGTCCTGGGGGGCTGTTCCGTCTGCCGACAGCCCCCAGTGTCAGGATTATGCAGAGCACTTGTCGCAGTCGAACTTCGGGGCCCGTCCCAGACATACCTGCCGCGTCGAGGGGCTGGGACATGGAAACCTGCAGTCCGACCCGTCAGATACTCCGAGACACGGTCGGACGCTCTCTCAGCTCCTCTGCAGAGTCTCAGTCAGGAACGGGCCTGGGGGACACGTAAGGGACTAACTGCAGGGCTTCACTGTGCACAGTTGGGAGGAGCAGGTTACACGGTCTCTGTGGGCCACACGGAGCCCGATGCTGGGCAGGGAGGGGCGTGGGCTTGGGAGCTGGGGCCGTGTGTGTGGCCGCGCCGGCCTCAGCACCCCCAGACCTCCAGCTCTGGAGAGGCTCACCTGCCTCTGGGGGGAGAGGGGCTGGAGGGCCTGCAGGGGAGACGCAGCCCTGCGGCGGCCCCTGCCTCCCCTGCCAGCGCAGGCCCCTCCAAGGCACGGGAAGGTGCCCCCAGGGCAGGTGGCTGCTGTGTCCTTGCGCCAGTCGGGCCACTGGGGCGGCCGGAAGGCCAGGGGCACAGGGGGCCGCAGCGCCACCCTCGGGGGGAGCTGCCTGGGCGTCTGCCACCGGGACGGGCCGGCAGGGATGCTCGGTCGGCACCTGGGGGCGGGTTCCTGGGACGGGGGCTCCCCACGGCCTGTGCAGGTGCACTGCGAATGTCGTGACCGGACACGCCCCACAAGGACAGAGGACCTGGCCGCCTGGCCACAGTCCCCGTCTCCGTCCCGAAGTGCTTCTCAGGCACCTACCCGTGGCCTTCACCCTGGTCTTCGTGGCTCCTGGGAGCTCCTCATCTTCGGAAAGTCTCCTTCTGCCAGGGAGAGGCCTGCATTCAGAACGGCACATGGTGAGTGGACAGGTGCCCGCGGCGCTGAGCTGGCTTGGGCAGGCGACCCCGCGCCCGACCTCGCCACAGCGCCCTGCGGCAGCCCCGCATTCTACACCGTCTCTTCCCCCGAGCCCCTGGGCGCCGCCGGAGAGCAGCTCCCTGTGCAGCCCTGTGCTGTTGGAGGGTCGGCTGGGTCCCCGGAGAGGGACAGACCCCTCCACCAGGCAGGTCTGCACGCCGCTGTCCCAGAGGCCACCAGGTGGCGGTGGCGGGCCGCCCAGTGTGGCCGCGGGGTGAAGACCGGGGTCTAAGGAAGCCCGTCGCAGGCCGAGGTCTCCGGGGCCTTGTCGCCCTTGCCCGTCTGCCCCAGTGCCCGGAGCCTGACCTGGGAGGAGGGACGGCTGGCTGACCGGGACCCCGGGTCTCAGCTCCAGCTGACGGCCCGGTGGAAAGGGCAGGAGGCAAACCCAGCAAAATCGGTCGCCAACCCAACTGCAGGTGGAAGGTGGACAGTTGGCAGGTAACGATTTTTGCCCAAGTCCCGGGCATGTGAGGGGAGGGCGGGGAGAGGAAGAGAGAAGGGAGGCAGGAGGGGCTGCTCATGGCTCCAAAAATCACAGCAGAACTTGCCTGGAAACAGGGAACCACGCGGGTTTGGCCGCTGGCAGAGCTGAGTTTGAGACTCGAATTCTGCGGGCCTCTCTCACTGTTCGGTTTTCTGCGCCCTGCAAGGCCTGTAGTTTGCTGTACTTGGGTAAATCCCTTTCAAATAAGCCTTGGTGTTCTGATCATCTAAGGACCCGGGTGGACGGTTTCGCGTGGGCGCCAGTAGGGGGAGCCACCACGGAGTCGTGAGGCCCTGTCCCGAGGGACAAAGCTCTGCGTCCCAGCAAGGAGGCCGCCCCGGCCCAACCGCGAGCACCCCAAGGAGCAGCAGCCACGGGCTGGCTCCCTGCACGAAGCTGGACGCCTTCGATCTGAGGGGACTCGGTCTGGACTGCTCCTGCCAGCCCCCGAGAGGGCCAGTGGCTTCCTTGCGGGTCAGAGGCCGTTCTGCCTTTCTCCTCTGCACAGATAGGAAATCAGGTGGGTCCGAGGCGGACCCACTCTAGCTGGACACGAACGGAAACGCTGCGGGGATGGTGGCCATGTTTTGGAGCCCAGGGCTGAAATGCTCTACAATATTCACTCTGGCCAAATACGTGAATTCCAGGCTCCCTGAAACATTAACATCTGTCCTAGACCGGAACCCCCTTTATTTTTAAGTATTTACTTTTAACGGTTCCAAAAGCTGTAGGTTGTCTTTCCTTTTGCAAACGTCTCGCCTCTCGCGGGCTGGCGTTCTTGTCCGCTCTCAGAGCTGGCTGCAGGGCCAGCGAGCGGGCCGGTGGCGGGCACAGAGCTGCTGCTTTTCTCCGTCTCAGAGGCTCAGCACCCTGGTCTCCAGGCCTCCGGGTGCTCGTCAGAGTCCCGGGGAGTCATCCTGGAGGTCGGCCCTGTTCTTCCCGGGCCCTGGGCTATGCCGGGACCTTCCCTCGCTCGGGGAATCCCTCCGCATGCTTCAGGCCCCGGCACCCCCCGCGGTGCGTTCACTGTGCGAGCTCTCGGACGGAGCCTCTCCAGAAGCTGTCTGCAGCCACGGGCAGCGAGGGCGCCCTGCGCAGCAGGTGTGGGGTGAGAGGAAGGCAGAGGGGCGACGACAGGGGGACCCGGGCAGGAGCCTGTGTGATTCCTGAGGGTCCCCGGTGGGCACCAAAGAACAGGAGCCAGCATCGCCGCCGCGTCCTGAGAGGAGGGTGTTTCCGAGAGAGCAGAAGTTGCTCAACGCCGTTCATTCGGAGGAGAAGTAACGACAGCCACTCAGGTGTCCATTGTGCTCAGTGAAGAGTCTGGTTTTCTAAAAATTTCTATCTATTTATTTGTTTTTAGACAGAGAGGAAAGGAGGGAGAAAGAGGGAGGGAGGCATCCATGAGTGGTTGCCTCTCATGCGCCCCCTGCTGGGGACCTGGCCTGCAACCCAGGCATGAGCCCTGACTGGGAATCGAACCGGTGACCCTTAGGTTCACAGGCTGGCGCTTAAACCACTGAGCACACCAGCCTGGTCTGTTCTTTCAATATGAGTTTTCCAGCCCCTGCTGGGTGCCACATTGGGACACAGCTGTGAATGGGG